AATGATATTTTCGGACTCAAGTCCGATAATGGGTTTTATCTATTCGGACTCGGGTCCGTAAAAAAATGTTTTATTTATTCAGACTCGGCTTCTAAGTGAGTTATGTGAGTGTCAGGAGGTTACATGATAACTGTCGTTGGGGGATTTTACGTAAAACCAGAATTAGAACTAGAATTGCCTACAAGGACTGTGTAATTGTGTCAAAAATAAGACTGCACTCTCATTAGATCTACCCAATGTCAGTGTCTAAGTGCACGGTAACCGACAACTCATTTTTTTTCATGGTCTTTCCACCACCACTACAGCATCATCATTACTTCCACCACCATTTGTCTTTCCACATGTTTAATTTCATTTTGGTGTGTTATAGTTTTTCTGTAATTATTTTTTTCTTAATCACATCGCACAAAATGGACAGCCGTAGTCTCTTCCCACAGCAAGCCGAGAGTGCGACATCGCTACGCGCAATCTAATTGGTCGACCTACTTAACGTGGGCCGGGTTTATGTCGCCTGATAAGCCATTTCGGCACCTCGCCTGCGTTATGGTCCCGAGTCAGTCTAGCTCCTGGCTTGGCGCACGCGCGCCAAGCATCATCTCACGTTCAATCCGGGTCCCGCGACGGATCCCCATTCATGCAGGTCAAGTGTGTGAGCGTCAGTCTGCTTGAGTTTGTGTGCGTTTGTGGCCTTCTTCTAGAACCGCCAGCGTGGGTTCATAATCGAGGCATACGTCTCATTCAAAACACGCCAACTTGGTAGCTAAACTTTAGATGTTCGTCCACTGAAATTATAGAATAAATTGACCCACTTAGACAGGAGGAGCTCGAAAGGATAGTCAGGAAACAAGACTTCCATTTTTCGATACAAAATCTTTCAAATGATACTACCTGATAAAAAATAAGCTTGTTCGATAGTTTTGAACATTGTGCAGGTACAAAGAACAATTTGAGTGTAAAACATTCGGAAATTGACCTCTATAGGCTATATTATCCCCTTTCGAACCTCAGGTCATTCATGACAACAAGAGCGTCTAGAAAGGTACTCGAATGGCGTAACTACTCGTAATGTCTTATACAGCATTTGAGAGGGCGTTATTCATGTGTTCGTAACACTTTATAAATAGGTAGAGCTATGAAATAGAGCGTTATTTTCATCATCGATTAACACACTCCCACTGTATTCATGGTGAAAACACACGTTTCCCGGCGCACGCGCGCTATACACCAACAGTACACACTGAGTGACCCCGGCGGCCTTCTCGGAACGTCCGACGTAATCGGTTGCTGACAAGATTCACATCTCAACGCAGGCAAGAGTAAACTTTGCCCCCGGCAAGGTCAACTCAACTTAGTTGTTCTGTCAAACTAATGATCCAGGGAGGGCCAGTTTAGATAGATATAGATCTAGTAACTAGATACCAAAGCTCACGTTTCGATCGTTATCATTATAGATCTAGATCAAAATGTTTTAAAATTCATAAATGAAAATGCTGGAAATATTTAGACTTAAATCTAGGAACAAGGGTCGGAAGTCGGAAGGGACGTCATGCTGGACTCATTTCAGAGTCTGAATAAAATTTTGGAAGTGCCTATTTGCAACGCCGCGTTGCGATTAGCGCCAGTGCTAAATAAAACACTGCGTTGCGATTAGCGCCAGTGCTAAATAAAACGCTGTGTCGCCGTGTGCAAAATATCAAGCTTAATCTGCACTTCGTTATCAGAAGTTCTGATGGCCGAAGTGACAGCGCGTCTGCGCTTGAAGTCAAACCATTATTTTTTTAGCGTGGATTCGATCCCGGTCCAGGACGTTTTTTTCTTTTTTCTTTTTTTTTGTTGTTGTCCTCTTCTCGACTGACCAACAAATTGTTCCCATAATTATATCTTGTTGCTTTGTAGTTTTTTCATGTAGTGATGAAGCATGCACATTCTGGTTTTGTCCTCAAGAGGAGCTCTGTACAAAGTAGGCCATAGCCTATACTTTTCCTTTTACCAATTTAGGCCTGGTTAAAGTTCAGTAGTCGCTTTCCTTGGTCTGTGAGTCTAATTTTTTCCGTTTTTTAAATTTTAGGCTCAGGAGAAGGAAAAAAAAAACCCTTTCGGAACCGGGACTCGATGCCACGCTTGGAAGCACTGAACATTAGACTTAGAGAACGTAGACAGTAGTCGAGTTGCACCGTCTTGTTATTGTTGTTATACCAAGCGTCTTTCGACTTTGCTCAAACTCTAACTCAGATGATTATGATTATGAGAGATGACTAATCTAGATCTAGACCCTACCCAATATTGATCGGAATTTAAGACAACGTCATAAAAAAAGGAGTCAAATCCTAAGAGGTTTATCAAAAAACTGAGAAAGCTTCCACAATTCAGGCAGAACTACAATATTATCATGTAGAAACGATAGCTAGGCTCTACTACATCTAGATCTAATCTAGATCTAGATCTAGTACTGGCGTTGCAAATCGAAGTGACTATTCGGACTCGAGTCCGAATATGAAAAAATGTTATTCGGACTCTGATTCTTGTCCAGCATGACATCACTTCCGACTTCCTGTGACTCGTGACTCCAGCTTCCTGTCCTGCCTCACTCGTGACTCCAGCTTCCTATCCTGCCTCACTCGTGACTCGCCTCAGGCTGGGTAGAGACCAGGATCACTTCGGGCAAAAAGGCGTTTTGTGCAGGAGCCGAGTTTTTATCTTATGATGAATTTGAGGTCGGCCTGAAAAGTTATAGCGCTTCTAATAAATGTTTATTTGTCAAGAGGTCATCAGAAGCAATTAAAGATGGCTCGTTAGCGTGTGTTGGGGTCGGATGGGCGGCCTGCACACGTGTGGCTGTGTGCGTGTCGGGGAGGTAGGGGGGCACTATTGGTCCGGGCGTTGAACGTCGCATACGCGTCAGTCTTTTTCCCCCGGCAACTGATCATTATTACAATAATTTATAGCTAGTCTTGACGTAGATCTACGTAATGAATTGTTCGCTGGTCTATGGAATCAAAAGTTGCCGTATGCTCAGCTCTACACAGCAACACATCTTTTTCTTGGTAAACAATCGAGATGACACAGGCTTGTGTATTTGAACGAATCGGTCTTTTTTTTTTTTTCACAGCTCATAATAGCAGGTGCCAGGTGATTTTACCTTTTTCTACAACAAAGAAAGTGGGAAACATGGGGGGTGGGGGGGGGGCGTATCAATGAGGCGGAGGGCATCGGATCGGCAGAAAAGGTGTGGGGGAAACTAAAAAATGGCGGAAAATTGGAAGCACTGAACGTCAGATCTATAGAACGAAGACAATTCCTTTTTTCCGGACCTGAGTCCGAATAACATTTTCCTCCAGGCCTAACATTTTTTCATATTCGGACTCGAGTCCGAATAAGAAATTTTTTTACTTTCGGATTCGAGTCCGAATATGAAAAAGGCTGGATTGTACTTTACCGGACCACCCGTCTCGGCCCGTGATTACTACGCACGCCTAGCCTAACTACGCACTCATAGTACTCTGCGTGCGGACAAAAGGTAGTTCCGCGGGCGACTTCGCGCACGCACAGCGAAGTCAGCGGCGACTGGCGAGGCGAGGCGAGGTGAGCGAGAGGTGGTGGTGGTTGAGAGTGGGCAGGGGATTTAACTTTGGTGGACCACCGTGTATCATACCCAACAGTGGGGTGGGGGGGGGTTCAGGGGGGGCTTGGCCCCCCGTGGAAACTATAATAAAGAAAACACACAAAAATGCGAAACAATAACATGAGCGGACAGTCGGTGTTTACATATCAATGGGAGGGGGGGGGGGGTTCAGGGGGGCTAGCCCCCCTGGCAACAATAATTTAAAGACACTCACACACACACATATAAACAATAGCATGATAAGTCGCGAGCAGGGCCAATGGGGTTGCAATTATGCAAATGAGCTCTCGTGCGCATCTCTAGCCCTCCATTGTACTTTGCCGGACCAGGAGTAGGCCTAGGGCCTAGGCCAAGCCAGCAGTCGCGAGCAAATAAGAATAGTGGACCACGTGATTAGATTGACCAATTAGCCTCAAGGTGTCAGGGTCATGGGTCAAAGGGCACAGTGGCACGGTCGTGATGACTGAAAAACCCGGTAAGAGACGGCAGTCGATTGCTGGCAGTTGAAGAGTGAGGACGTACAAAACTGAGTAGGAGAGCGAGTAGGGGAGCTCGGAAACGAAGAACAGCGGGCCACTAGGCACCAGGGGCGCCACAGCGAAAGTAGTTCCGGCCGGTGGTCCGGTAAAGTACAATCTTACCATGAAAAAATGTTATTCGGACTCGAATCCGAATAACGACGGCCGTTGCAAATAGCACGAGAGCTATTCAGAACGCGGCGTTGCAAATTTAGTGCTTGCCTAAAATTTTTGTCCAGTCTCATCTAGATCTAGATCTGGTCACTTTGTAAAAACAAACAAACAAAAACAAAACAAAAGCCTACCTGAGGAACCACTCCCACTTTTGGCTCCCTCGGAAACTGGAGACGGTGACTGGAAAAGTGCTTTTTTGAATGCTATCATATTACCAATTATTGATGAATTTGCCTCAAAGTGAGCCATTTTGTTCTATTGAGTAGATCTAGTTATGAACTGAGACAAAAGTGAACCGTACACACCTCCTATTCTATTACTGAACGATGGCTCTACTCGTTATCGCTCATTCTTCAGAAGGAAATTTTGATTAGATAAAGCCAAGTTCAAGATCTAAAGAGACAAGCTTTGTTTTGCCTTCGCCAGTCCCCGTTTCCGGTTTGTGCCTCTATAAAATGTTGGCTGATACAGAAACAAGTTCGTTGAGAAAATGATGTTCTAATTCAGTATTGATATTGCTGTTGTAGAATAATAAAAATTGGAGAAAAAACGGTTCCTTCCTTCATTTTTTAATCATATTTAATCTAAACCATTGCTTTGCCTAATTGATAAATTTTAATAACCAAAAAGAAACCCAGGCAAAACTACTTGATCCGTCTTTTTGAAAAAGGTGTTCAAAGGACCGTAACTCTGATAAAATTTTCTGTGGTCACCAGGAGAAACTGTTGGATCTGGGTCCAGGAACAGAATCGATAAGCAACTGTTTACATTCTTTAATTGTGCGCTTTGGGTAAGAATTCTACTAACCCTTGATGAAGAATATTTTCTGAGTGGAATGAGTGCACTGCCCTGCCAGAATCTTTTATTTTTCCTCTCTTGTTGCTGCCTTAACGCCCATCCCTGTTTTAATTTAGCTCCGGCCGGTCCGGTTTCCATCCTGCCCTCCTCGGCCTCGGTTTCCTGCTTGTCCTCTTTCTCTCTCTTGAGTCGCGAGTCAGATTATGGTAACTTAGACTTCTGGACCTAAGTAACTAGATCTAGATCTAGATCTAAGTGGTAAGTTGCGTTCCTGTATAAATCTGTGCGATTGTTAGATTTGGGTTTTCTTAGGTAAGGGAAGAAGGAAGTTTTCTCTTTTTTCGTCTATACTATACCATTAGCCTAGATTTCTAGATATCTATCTTAGATCTAGATTCTAGATTCTAGATTCTAGATCTAATCTAGATCTAGATTCTACATCTAGTTAGTTGAAGCCCTGTGGTCTGGGTTGCCCCTTTGCCTTTGGAAGGACTTCCGTAAACATGAAGCTGCAGTGAGCACCCAGCACACCTCTGTGATTGGCGCAAATATAGATCAGATGATGTAAATTTCTGCCTTCTATTTTTGTTGTCTTTCAGGGCTTCCCTTGACCACCGTGACGGGCCTGCTTTGCCACAAAGGGTGCGATGGGCTTCGTCACTAGATCTAGGTGTCATAGCAGATTGTTTGAGCTGTGTGTGTATGTGTGTGCGCGCTTGTGTGTGTGTGTTTGTATGTGTGCGCAGGCTAGGCCTGGGCAGAAACCTTCTGTGACAGCGAGAGTTCAAAGGGGCCGAAAGACTTGTCGTTCTGAGCTGCGATCTCTGACTACGTCACACGCAACAGATTTGCGGAGTGACTATCATAACTGATATACCCCTTGTAACTCAGTAGCCTGCAATAACTTCAATTCATCTTGTCTAACAAAAGTTTCTTTATTACCAACTTAAACCCCCCCCCCCCCCAAAAAAGCACTTCATCAAAGCCATTTTAACATTCCATTGTTTAGTTTTTTATCATTGTTCAATGTTATTGTTGACCTAAGAGAACCGCGTTCGTCAAAAAGCTTGTGAGGCCTTTAATAACGTAATGAACAGTACGCCTATTATCTTATTTTTATACATGTACTTACATGATTTTTTTTTACTATACCAAACTCCCTCTCATCAAATGAGTTAAAACTGAATCTCTTCGGTGTTATGAAGACTTAAATTTAGAAAGAAAAAGAAAAAACCACGAGAGAACCAGGAGGGGGAGGGAAGGGAGTACGATGACGTAGGCTAACGCCACAAAGCTCGCATCGGCCGTCGACCTTTGCCAAGGAAAGTCTGCCTACAGATTTCCGTCACCAAAGCCCACCCCCCTC